AATGGGATCTTATTTGCTTCTATGAGATCTTGAATGAAAGTTTGAAACCTGTAGCATTCATCGGTGGTATGACCGTTTCCTCGATGGTACTTGCAATAGGATTTTGGATTCCATCTCAAAGATCGATTTTCTAGTGTTGGATCCTCGGTAGGGCCAATAGGTTTGATTAATCCTCGATCATAAAGACGATCGAAAGCAGCATCGTAGGTCATTTCAATGGATGTAAACTCTCGCCTGGGTTTCCTTTTAGATCCTTGATTGTCCACGGCTAATACATCATTATGGTCAAAGGTACTAACATTATTACTAGAGTGGGCGCTTTCGGAAGAAGATGGATTGTCGCTCTTCTTTCCTTTCCAGCCACCGTGGTTGCTATTGTTAGTAGCTTTTTGCTTTGCGAGGTCTTCTTCGATCTCGATACCTATGTCATAGACGGCCTTGAAAGTATTCAAGTTGTGTTGATATTTTAAGTGCTTTGAATACTTTTCTTGGAGATTCTTGATAAACATCCTCACGGATTCTTTTTCGGTAGGGACCTCAATCATCTTGGCGGAAGTTTCTCTCCATTTATTAAAGAAAGAAGTAAAGCCTTCATTCTCTTTTTGTCTTAGCATCTCAAGTTGTCTATGATCGGTTTCAAATTGAATATTGTACTTGTACCTATCAACGAAAGCGTTTGCTATCGATTCCCAGGTAGAGGTTTTTTCCTTGTCAAGGGAGAAGAACCATTGTTGGCAAACGGTTTCAAGAGATAGTGGGAACAGAGAGGGGAAAACCTTCTTATCGATACCCTTAATGCTCATTATAGTTTCAAAAGCTCTTAGATGGAAGTAAGGGTTATCTGTTGCCTTGAATTTAGGGATGTCAGTGGCGTTGAACTTATGCGGAATAAGTTCCTTGTCCAACGAGACCCCTTGTGAACTCATGCCCTGAAATTTGTAGTCACTAGATAGCTTGCTCAAGCTTTCTTGCATGAGGTCCATCCGTTGTTGCTTCACGGGATCATCAACCTTGAGGGTGAGTAGCTTCAGTGTTTCAGTCATGGTAATCAATTGGTTCCTAAGCTCATTGAATTCTTCTTGAGTTGCCATTATCTTCTTAGCCTTTCTCTTTTGACGAATCGGTTTATCAAAAAGTAAGACTTGAACAAAGGTGTTGTCCTTGATTAATCGCCCTTCTCTCCTCGACCAAATACTGTGGGAAAGGAATTTCGGGATACTTATTGTTAATTATTTGACTCAAACTTTATTCAACATGCAATGGATGGAGGAAGTGAAGAAAGATGAAAAAATGTGAAGAAAAATTTAGGTGGAGGGATATGAAGAACTAGGAATAAAATGTACCCCCTAACTCAAATGACGGAAAAAACCAACTCATGCATGGACCTTTGACATGGTCATGGTGATGCATACTCAAAGTGTTTGCTAAGATTAGTGAGTGTAGGTGACATATTAAGACTCGTGTCATGACCATGTGGCTAGAATATGTGACCAAGACTCGATTAATGACTTGACAGGTGTTATTGACAGCGAAAATTAACCGAATTAATTAGTAAACTGATTAATTAGACCCTAGGTGATGACTCGACAAATAAACCGAACTGTCGGGCAAGCGACAGGACTGGCTTCATAATATGGTGATTGGCGCCAGACTTTTTAGTAAATGTCTGGCGCTACACACCATACAGAGGCGCTACAACTCATTTTTTGGCACCAATATTGGAGCTTCGGTCCGGGACTGTTTTCGGTATTATTAGCCAACTGGGGTATGCCTAAAGTCATACTAGGTCAATTTCGATTAAAGAAAATAGACTTTATTGACTCAAATTAATTATTTAATTAATTAATTAATTAGGAAATGTTCTTTAGGTCATTAATTTTAGTCTCAACACAAATCAACAAACAGTTAAGAGGAACATAGAATATATATGCACAACCAATAATGCACAATTAGTCAAGTAGGCACAATATGATGCAATGAGTTCGCAACCTAACCATGGCTCTAGTTCTCTAAAGTTCGGGATATGGTTTAGTCAAACATGGTCCATGGTTAATTGTCTAGATGCACCGCGTAGAAGCCTAACCGTGAAGGGTTAACGCGTGTGGATAGAACACCGCGAGTTTTTAGAAAAAAAACTCACTTCCATGGTTTGGTGAATTCAACCTCTCAGATGTACCCTTTGTTGCCAGGAGCGTTCAATCGGGTAGATAGAGCATGAATTCCCAGAGGGTTATGTCCATATGTAGAACATATATGGGTTTCAGAAAAGTGAGAAAAAATTCAATCAAGAAGTAGGATCGAGCAAACAATACGAAAAACCGGTCGAAATTAGAACGCATATTTCTGACTCGGTATTGGGGGAAATTGGCGCCATCAAACAGAGACTGGCGCCAACTTTTAACTGTAGCGCCTGGCGCCAATACTGGCGTCTGGCGCTACGGCTAAAAGTATGGCGCCAAGCTCTAGCCCCTGACACTTCCCACATGCCTCAGCAGCTTTTAGTGCTCAATAAAATCATCCAGTTTCGCGCGATGTTATTTCAGTACTAGTTGTGAAAGACATTTCTCAAATTTCCTACGTGTAAAATCCTATGTTTTTGACTCATTACGGATGGTCTTTCCAATGAGAACATTTTTATGCATATGACACAATGTTCAATCAAAATTACGCACATGAAATACTTAGAACTTTTCGAGTCTCATCCACTCATTCTAAATCATTGTCGAAACAAATTCAGGAATTAAAATAGAAATCCTCCCCAGTGGAGTCGCCAAAAACTATAGGGAATAGTTTCAAGCCTTTAAAATCCCACTAGCTTGAACCCCACTTTGATCATACACTAAAGTACGGTGGCATCCAAAACGGAAGAAGATAGAGCAAAAGAGTCGCCAACAAGTTTTTAAGGAACTTGTAAACCGTTCACGAGGTGAAGGTTACACCCCTTAACAATCCAAGAGATCGTCAACTCCATAAGGTCATGAACCAAATAAGGGTTTGGGGATGATGGTACAAATCCAACCTAAAAGAGATTGAACATGCCCTAATAATAGGCCTCTACTTTATTCTGCTCGTATTCATGTGCGCTTTCTGATTAACATGCAATCAATAGGATTAACCCTAAACCTGTTTAATCTATGTTGGTTGAATGTTAATGCACAAATAAATCTATTATTGGCGATCACTTGAATTATAATCAAAGTTATCCTAACAAGATTATTAATTATCTTATTAAGCGTGATTACAAGTACAAATTCCCTTTAAACATGCATAAAAAGGTGATCAAGCAATAAATAATATAAAATAATACATATCAAGCAACATAATAAATAATCAACATCATTAATAATAATAATATCAATCATAATCATGTTAAAGCATAGAAAGATCCTAGGCATGATACTAACAAGATTAATAACAAACCCTAGCATGTCACTAAGCAATAAAAATCAAATCTTTAACCCTAACATGATACTAACATGAATTAATATTAGAAAGAACATAGGAAGCATCGTACTTTTAATCATACTTGATATTAAAGTTACCCTAGACATGATACTAGGAATCAAAATAACAATCTAAGCATGATTTCTATATCATAATATCAATTAAACCATTAAAGTACTTACTTGGATGCCTCGTACCTCTTTCTAATAACAAAATGCACACGTTAGTAACTTCGAGAAAAATAATAAACAAAACAATCAAATTAAATAATTGAAATAGAGATTTGGGACCAAACCCTCAGAAATTAAACCTTTCACGTCTAGGGCGAAGGCAACTTCGAATATGGCTAGGTGTTTCTAGATCTTGTGAATGCGGAATTTTGTGTGAAAAAAGCAAAGAATTTAAGAAAATAATTAAGAGATAAATGTTATATGAGAATTGAATGAAAGAGATGAATGATTCTAGGAGAATTGAATGAAAGAGGTGAATAATGAAGAGTTGGTTAAAACTTAAGAATAAAGAGAATTAGTGAATGAAAACGGAGTTTTTGATACGATATTTATAGAGAAAATCATCCAAAAAAGATAATTTATCAAAACAGAGTCTGAAGACCGCAAAACCATCTTGGCGCCAGCCCTGGCTCATTGGCGCCAGGACCAGTGGCTAGCGCCAGGCGCCAATGGCTGGCGTCTGGCGCCAATCCTGATTCCAGGCGCCAAGGCCTGGGGTTGGACGCCAAACCGACTTTTAACGAGTTTTTGAAATTCTGATAAAATTCCCGTACTGAAAGATAAAATAATATAATTTCAATCGGAAATGCTATTTGATCTGATTAAAACTCTGAAGAGTCCTAATTGGATTAAGAATGATAAGACCTTCTAGAATGTTCTAGAAGACTAAAACCATTCCTAATTAAATTAGGAATGATAAATTATTTTAGGCCCTCCCCTAGATCATAGGGCCGTACATAAAGCTCAAACCGGGCCCAGTTTAGTAAATTGGCCATAATTTCCTCAATATTCATCGGAATTGGGCTTATAATATATCGTTAGAAAGGTCTTTGCAAACCCCATCCAACTAAACCACTATTGGACCCATATCATGGACCAACCAACCTGTATTGTCTGTTTTCCTAAAATAAAGTTTTCAAAAACAGAAAGAAAAGAAAAGAAATAAAATTTTCCGCAACACTAGACCTTTCCACACTTTCGTTTCATTCGATTATGATTCGACATGAAAGGCACTCATCACTGGGTTTGGTTTTGGGGAGACACAAATGGGTGTCTACAGAAGCCCTCTTGGTCGGCGTTAGAATGTGTAAGGCGGCAGGAGCGACAAAAATTGATGTATGCTCAGACTCCCTACTTGTAGTCGGCCAGGTGAATTGAGACTTCGAGGCGAGGGAGCCGACCATGATAAAATACTTGAAGATTGTAAAAGAGGAGGCTAAGAGCCTAGATCATTTTACTCTACAGCAGGTCCCTCGTTCGTCCAATCATCAGGCGGACGCCCTCTCTAAGTTAGCATCCTCAGCATCATGTGATACTCTCAGGTCGATGTTTTGGGAAGTAAAAGAAAAGAGGAGTATTGACGCTGAACCAGTACATACCATTGATAGAAGCTCCACTTGGATGGACGGGATCATATCTTACCTAAAGGACAGATTACTCCCGGCCGATCCTAAAGAGAGCTGGCTGATGAAAAAGAGAGCGACCTGGTTTGAAATTAAGCAAGGAGAATTGTTTAAAAAGGCATTTGTAAAGCCGTACCTGATATGTATCACTCCTGAGAGAGGGCATGATGTCTTGGACGATCTTCACCAGGGGCAGTGCGGCTCTCACATTGGAGGACGAGCTTTGGGTGAAAAGGATGCCCGCCTGGGTTACTACTCGCCGAGCTTAAAGTCGGACGCCATGGAAATGGTAAAGAAGTGTGACAAGTGCCAGAGGTTCGCAACATTGATTCACCGAACCGCCAACAGCCTTTCGGCCATCAGTAGTCCGCTCCCCTTTTCCAAATGGGGGATGGACATTTTAAGACCGTACACACCAGCGTCCAGCCAAAGGCGGTATGTGTTTGTAGCAGTAGACTACTTCACAAAGTGGGTAGAGGCCGAGGCTGTCCGAGGCATCAAATGGACGGATGTTTCCGCTTTCATATGGAAGAGTATCATTACACGCTTTGGCGTTCCTCAATCTATGGTGTTCGACAATGGACCCCATTTCGAAACGCCTCAACTAAAAGAATGGTTGGAAGACCAAGGCATAGCTCATTGCTTTGCTTTAGTCGGCCGACCACAAGCCAATGGTCAGGTAGAGGCATACAACAAATTGATCTCCAATGGAATTAAGCGCAAGCTTGAAAGGGCAGGCGGCCTATGGGCTGATGAGTTAGTCAATGTGTTGTGGTACATACGAACCACGGCCAAGAGTTCCACCGGAGAAACTCCCTTCTTCTTGGTCTATGGTGCCGAGGTGATCCTTCCAATTGAAATGTATGAGCCCACCCTTAGGGTGATGCTATATGATGAAGCGGCCAATTGGGAAGCCATGAAGATCTCCCTAGACTTCCTTCCTGAAGCTAGGGGCAACGCGACACTTAGACACGAAATCTATCGTCTACGGATGACAAGGGCGTACAATCGCCGAGTGTCAAAACGGCCGATAAAATTGGGAGATCTGGTCCTAAGGAAGATGGAGGATGTGGGACGAGCAAATCAGGATGGGAAACTAACCCCAAATCGGGAAGGGCCGTATCGAGTCAGGGAAGAGGTCCGAGATGGGACTTACCATCTTGAAGCCATGAACGGCCGACTCATTCCGCGTACATGGAACACTGACAATCTGAAGAGATATTATGTTTAAGTACTTAGCCAAAAGTTGTGTATACAGCTAGGTCTGTTGACCGATCAATGTAAGCCATACGGCCACAACAATGTAATTTTGACAAATTAGTGAAAAGTCAAACATTGTTATAATTATTTTTCCATTTAATTTATGCTCATTTGCACGGTCATAACTTATACGGATAGGCCGCGTGAAATTTGCGAGTAGGTTGCTTGCAACATAGAAACTCGGTCGCAGAACAAAAGTAAATTAAATAAAATAAGAACGGGCAACTTGACCCCGAGTCATATGAATACATCCGCCCTAAATTAAGGGCGGACAGAAAAGGTAAGGTACCCTGTGAAACCCATCTAATGAGGCAAGGGCATACCTAGGCATTCCAGCTGAGTCATATGAATACGTCCCCCCTTAATTAAGGCGGACGGAAAAGGTAAGGTACCCTGTGAAACCCATATAATGGGGCAAGGGCATACCTAGGCATTCCAGCCCAGCCGAACATGAAAATTTAAAGTTGAGATCATACTTGAAATTTTCTGAGTGCGTCCGAGCGATAGTTTCAACGGACAAACTCACATAAAGCCAATTGAACGGCCAAATAATGTGTTGATTTGGCGTACCACCTAGTCCAAGGGCAATCAATATTATGATTTGATTAACTTGTTAGAAGTCATACCACCTAAGGTATAAACTCTACCAAGTCAATCAAACCACCCAAAATATGGACTAGGCGAACACCGAATAAAGGGGCATACCCCACAATTGTACGAAGATACAAAAATACGCGTACATAAAATCGCTCAAATGTGAAAAAGTAAACGTACGAAAATGCAAAAACTTAAGTGTAAAATTTGCAAAGTATGAAGCAAAATCTGAAAGCTGAATTTATAAAAGACCGCTCAAAGGGCGGCAAAGTGCTTTACATAAAATCGCGCAAAAAGGCGGCAGATACAGAACAAAAATAAAATAATTAACAAAGGCTGAAATAAGCTGAAATCACGGGGCGGCTGGAGTAGAAGCTTGACTCTGGCTTAGGCCGGGCTCTTGAACGGCGGCAAGGGACGCGTCATCAGCAGGCGCCTCCTTGCTCTCAGCCTCACCATCTTTGCTGGCCGCCACTCCTTCGTCTTCCTCCTCTTCTGAGGTAGTTGGCGTGACGTCTAGCCCAAGTGAAAGCTGGCCTTCTTAGCCTCTTCTTTGAGGCAGATAAAGTTAAGACGCTTGGTGAAGCGTTCCTGATAAAAGGTCGCCTCTCCCTCGTCCACCATAAGCTCAAAAGGCTCAAAGAAGTGGCTCTTCAGCCTGTCTTCAGCATTCTGCTCAATGCGGACTACCTCATCCGCACTGGGGGCCCGAGGTGTTTGCAATTGGAGAGTTAAATCCTCAACAGACTTCTTTAAACTTTCCACCTCGGCTCTCAGGGTGTCCGCCTCGTCCAAGGCCTTCTCCAAGTGTTTTTAGGCCAAGGCCACATCACTTCAAAGCTTCTCGGAGGCCTCAAACCCTTCCCTCCAGCGATGGCCGTCCAGCAGGGCCTGATCCCTCTCCTGTCTCATGGCGTCTCTGACCACGGACTCTTGCTGGAGGGCCTCGCCCAGCTTCACCAAATCTTCAGCCTGCCGCGCCGCCTTGTCGGACAGGGCGTTGATTTGGGTTTCGAAATACCGGCGTTGGACAGCCGTTTCCCCAGTAATGGCATCCTAGGTCTTCTGAATCTGGACCCAGGCATGCTTCAGCCGCTCATTCTCCTTGTCTTTCCATTCCAAGAAGGCATTCAGCCGCAGGAAGAGTTGCGTACAGGGTAAATATGTTAGCAAAGTAAGAGTGAAAAATTGACCAAGTGCATTTGAGGGTGAGAGTTACCTCAGCGCTGCAATTGATCATGGGGCCGAGGAAGCCCTCATGTATCCCCCGTAGCTTATCTCGCTGTTCAGCAAGGACGGCCCGGGCCATGGCTTCCCGCATGGCCTTCCGGTCCGCCCCAGTAAGGGACTGGCCAGGCAGCTTTATCTGTAGCTCCGCTGCAATGTCTGTATGCGGACGCAAAGAGTTTAATTTAAGCTCAGTAAAAAAAAGAAGAGAAGAAACGAAGTAGAAAATTCAAAATTACTCGGACTGATCGTCAGAGAAGCTTGGAGGGGTAGGAAAGTTGAAAGTGAATGGCGGGGGCGGTGCAGGCTTGTCACCCTCTTCCCCCGTCCGGCCAGGCTGGCCGCCGGCCGACTGAGTGGCTTCAAGCCAATCAGATTCATTGTCTCCTTGAACAGGCGGAGTCAATTCTGGCCCGGTCGGTTTTGCCGGGGTCAACTTACCCCTATCGTCCGATTTCTCAGACCTAACATGACCCGGCGTGGCGGCCGGATCTATGGACTTGGAGGCCCCGCTATCACTCAGTCGGGGTTGTTCTCCTTTGGGCTGCTTAGAGGCAATCCGCGATGTCGTCTTGGCCGCAGAAGTGGAAGTGGTCTTGGACGCGACCGTCTTCCTTTGTTTGGACGCCTTACCGTCCTTGTCCGTCTTGGACGCAGGGGACGACTGCTTCCATTTGGACCTAGGAGTTGGAGTGGCCAGCTGTAGAGGCAAAGGTTAGTAAAAAGGGAGCAAGATAATATAATTGATAGGCCGTGCCAAGTTAGGAAGAAGATCTCTTCCGTAATGCATACACGGACGAAAGGAAGAAATCAAGATGGATATACTTACTTCTTTAGATTGCTCGTATAGCTTCTGGCGAGCCTTGTATCGAGCCAAGTCAATCTCTGTCATGTTGACCTCCCCTTTCTGCTCTAGGTCAAGAATCTTGTACGCCTCAGCTGAAATAGAAAAGGAAAGTGTTAGAAAATTCTTCAAACTCAAATAATCTGTATATGTATATGTGTCCATGCGTCCACCTTGGGGCAGGTTCTTGTACAGGCCATAGGCGGACATAAATGTGGGATCCCGCAGCCAGCTGGATAAAGGGACCCAGTTACTTGGAACGCGCTCAGTTTTGCCATTCCTTCTCACCCGCTTGACTTTGAAATATTCAAGCTGGTACTCCTGGCTGGGGTGGACGGGTGGCTTATCAAGCTTGAGGTCCCCGCGTCTAAGTTGAATTGGCTCAGCATTGAACCGATTCATCTGCAAGTTAAGTTCAACATTTTTGGCCTTGATGCGGTAGAATCAGTGCTTGCAGTCACGCCACTTAGAGACGCGGTCCACCACCATCATGTAGTCTCTAGTGGTGCTCAAGATGAACCAGTCGTCTGTATCCGCGTCCAGCTTAGTTAGTGAGTGCATCTCACAGAAAACTGCAAAGTCTGGCTTGAAGCCTTTGCAGATGCACGTCACTAAGTACCCAAAAATGTTTAACCAGCTATTTGGCATCAGCTGGAAGAGGGCTATGTCATACTCATCCAAAATCGTGCGGACGAAAGGATGGAGGGGGAAGCGCAGTTCTACGTCTAAGGCCGCCCTGTAGACGCTAAAGGATCTTTGGCGCGGCCTCTCTTCTTCCCAAGCGGCCAGAGCGCGGGATTTCCTTGGAGGCTGGATCTCGAATCCCTCCCCAAGGTGGAGAAATGCCTTGTATTCCTCAAATTTGTAGTTCAGGTAGCCCAAGGCTGTGCTACCCACCGTACAGGCGAACGGATCCTTGAAGTTATCAATATTGGCAACATCCTCCTCGATCACCTCTTCGCCACCAGCGGCCGCCGCTTCGCCCTTGGCCGCATTCTCAACCTCATCCTCTTCTCACTGAGGAATGCTCCCAAACTCGGAAGACAGCACTCTGTCCAGATCGGCCGCCTCCGCTGAGCTGCGGCTCCTAGAACTATGGCCGCCTCGGGGAGAGACAATATCCTCAAGGGGCCTTTTGCCTTTATCTTTGTCACCGGCCGCCTGACTCCCCGTAGGAGGGGCTCTGCGAGGGGGCAAGTCGGACGGTTCATTAATTGAGACCCGTGTTCTGGGTCTGTCCGACCTGCCATATCGGAGATAGAGTTCTGAGGGGGTTAGGATGGACGTATCAGCGTCCGCCCGAGAAGAGGAAGGAGGTCCTTCACAGAGTAGCAACTCGGCCCCATCCATGACCGAGTTGGCATATTGGGGGAACCTCAACTCCGGACGTTCCCCTCGTAGTAGAAGCGCCTTGAGTTCTTTGGCGCCCCTCGAGAGAGGAAGTTACTTCCACGGCCGAGTAGTGAGTGCCCGTGGAAGCGGCCGTAGGAGTGGAAGAAGGGGTCTCTAAGTTGGCATTATTTGGGTCATATAAAGATCATGCGTCTGCCTTGTCCGTGCCTTGTTCGACTGCAGGGACAGAGAAGAATGGGTGGATGTGAGTTGGTACGCACTAGAAATGGACCCACTCCATGAAAGAGACAACTCGTCTCCGTCCAATCTAGACTCCTCAGTCCCAGGCGAATGGCCGGCCTCATGAGGAGAAACGGACGAAGCCGAGTGTTGAGCCAGATTTTAAATGAACAAAGAAATAAAAATGAAAAGAAAAGAAAGCAGGCGGCCTACCTCTGTACGTGTTGAAAACTTGGAAGCCTTGAAAGTTGATCGGAAAACTCAACAAAAGTTCCCGGAAAACCCAAACGCACGGCGGAGCTCTCGAAGATTCAAAGAAAAACTCACTTTCTCTCTCTAGAAGCTCTGACTTCTCTCTAGAGAATGTAAATTTCCAAAGTGCCAAAATGAAGTCAAACCCCTTGTATATATAGGAAAAATTTATGGGGGTAAGACAGTAAATTCATCTTTCCCTCCTAAACAAAGCTGAACAGTTATAATTTGAAAATGTGACCTAGAATTTGGAGGGACAAGGAGTAACTCCGTTAAATTAGGCGGAAAATATGACGACCTAATAAACGGCGCGTCCAAAGGGAAGTTAGCAGAGCTAAAGCTCCCTCCGCAATGGCAAGACGGCCACATCTCCTAAAAGCGAGACGGCCTACCGTTTAGGTCGTTGTTTTTAAATTTAAAAAATTTCACATACTAGTATGTACAAATGTACTCCATGATGAAAGGAATCCCGACTAAAATAT